ATATAAAGAAAAAAAAAAAAGCAATATAGAAACGAAATGAAACAGACATCCCCGTAAAGAATAAAAGGGAGAAAGAAATATATAGAGGATATAATCACACACACATACATACAGACAGATAGGTACAGTACTGCAAAATAGAAATAGAAAGCAAGAATAATAATAAGAAAAAAAAAAAAAAAGAGGACGTAGAAATCCAGAAAATTTTTATTTTTCCCTTTTGCCACTACTATTTTCATATACATCTTGATATGTATACAAGATTTTCCTGTCCTCAGTGTTTGATTCTTTCCTTACATCTTTATCTGTTTTTTTTTTCTTTTTCTTTTTTTTTTTGCTTTTCTACTTTAAGAAACCCTCACATAGTGTGTATAATTCCCTTTAATATTTCCTTTTCTTTTTTATCTTTATTCCACGCCACCGATAATATACTCGGCCTACCTTTCGCCACATCACAGTATTTCTCTCTGAAATGCCAGAGCACATTCACTATTTTTTTTTTTTTTCTCTCTTCTCTTCTCTTCTTCTTTTCTTTTTTTTTTCTTTTGTGGTGGTTTTATTTGCAGTTGGAGAAGTTTGGTTTGCAAGCAATAAGAACAATAATAAGAATAATAACGCCCACAGTGCCAATAATCATAAGTGTAAGTTTCATATTTTTCAGGCACATATTCCGTTTAAGTTCTGTTGATCTCTGTTGAAACTGTTGGGCCTGATCGGCTAGTGTGGTGGATTTCTCATGAAGCGTGTCAATGCGATCCCCGCGGGCGAGGACTTTATCCATATTGTCCATCATGACATCTACTACTTGATTAATGTCATCATTGAGAGCTGTTATTTTATCATTTTGTGGATTATTATAAAAGTCCATCTTTTGCTGAAGGAGTTTCTTCCCATTGCGGAGTTCCGTGCCTGGCGGGCCTACATTTCCACGCACGAGGGGCTCCACCGCCTCCAGAAAGGCAAAGACTGTTCGCATGCGCATGTCATTAGTAGTGACGCAGGCGATAATGCGGCCCTCGCCGTTGCTGATGTAATGATAATTTACACCGCCCTCTTTATCTTCAATGGTCTTTCGTCTGTACTCTTTAGCAGGCACAGTGGCAATGACTTTCTGCATGGTTTCCGCCAATTTGGGTTGTTCACCCGGTGGGTACTCCGCCAATAGTGTGGTGCCATCATTTATGCAACTATATTTGATTGGCATATCTTAATCTTGTACTCTCTTCGTTTCTTTTTCTTTTTTCTTTCGTTCTTATAGTTGTTAGCTGTTCTGTTCTGTTCTCTTTATTTTTTTCCTATGGAAAAAAAACAGGCTTTAATTAAGGTTTTTATAAGAAGAATAAATAAATAAATAAATA